TTTTAAGGTTTTAGGGGGAAAGCCTTCGAGTTAGCAAGGTTCTCAATGCATCGTTTTCAAGTGAATTTAGACAGATATTTCAGAAAATAAGACATAGGGACGTATTCGACTTAGGAAAGTTCGAATTATCTACGTTCAACTGCACTACGGAAAAAGGCAAAATTTCGAACGTACAAGAAAGCAGAAAATATCACTCGCACCGAGAAATTTTGCAGAAACAGCAGTCAAACAATGTCCAATTACGAAATTCGCTCCTCTTTATCTTATTTCCTATTATTTTTTTTAGAAAATCTTACAGAAAAGTTTTTGACATTCCAGGACACTTGAAAACTAAAGAAATCCGCCTCAACGTCCTTAAAAAGTTTCTGGATACCTACACTTTACCTACAGTTTAAGACGAATGAAAAATTTTAATTTTTACGATTTTGATATCTCTTGAACAAACTGTACTTTTTTATTCACAAATAATGAAAATAAAATTTATTATAAACTCACTATAATTAAAAATTCAAATCAGGCTAATAAAGCTTTAAAGCAATTTCAAAGCTGAGCAGATCACAGTTCGAGAACCACCAATTGTAAAAGAGAAGCAGAATAGGTGAATCTCACCACTTTCTGAAGCACCCTGATTCAGCAATCCCCCAACAACGTTCATCAACGTGTTCTGCAATGGCCCCGACTGAAGAACTTGACCTAGAATGGCCTGCAAGGGGTCATCATCAGACCGACCACGTTTCGCACCAGCGCCGGATCTTTTAGTGCCCACGGATTCCTGCAAATCATCGTCGTCTTCTACGTTGATCACATTCTCCTCATCGTCATCGTCGTTGGGATTCGGCGGAAATATTTGACCCAGCATCTCGGCACCTTTGGTCAACATATCCAGCGTGTCCGACAAAGATGCAGTCGGGTCTTTGCCTTTCCCACTTGGCTTGTTGTTGCCTGATGGGAAGTATAAAAATTCTAACCTTTGATACAGTTACTTTCACAGATTTCCAATATCCCTTCATTGAAATTCGTTCCTTCTCCTAGAATCTAGATACAGTATTTTCTTCAATGAAAAGTATAGAGAGATGTCAGCCAAAATCGACGCTCAAAATAAGAAGTCTTCCGCGTCAAAGACGAAGTAACAGGCAATGCACAAATTTTTTATGCGAAAAGTGGGACTTTAAATTCATTTTCTTTACGAAAATGATGCCAAGGACAGATGTGAAATTGGGGAATCTTTCTGCAAATCTTTTGGCGGCTGAAGTCAATTTATGCGACTCGTGGAATCGTTTAAAGTATTTAAACATTCAAAGATCATTACTGAGCATTTGATAGTTGGCTCTAGAACCCCACGTTAAGAGCGAAACGCATATTTCATCAAATTCTCCAGCAGAAACTCGTTCCTCGGAAAGTTTTGTACAGTATTTTAATTAGATTTTCGTAAGTTCACGATTGCCTTTATTGTAAATATCCGCCACTCTCCGTAAGATGTGCATATCAACGTCCTCAAAAACGAGTAAAAACGACTTAGCGATAACAGATTTTTTCCACTTATACCCTGTCACTCTACCAACGCTTTATTTGTAAATGGAGCGGAGGATTATGAGAAAAAAAATGGCATGAGACAGAGCAACTCTGTTTAAGTTACTACTGCATCAGTCAATCCAGACGCAGTTTGTGAAGCTTAATTATTGAATGCATAAATTCTTGATTAAACCCTACACCGAGTCTCGGGATACTTTCTTTGCATTCGATTACGTTATATAATCAAGAAACTTCCACATCAGAAAAATAAGCGATCTTTATACGAGAAAGGTTTTCGTTGAGGTCTCAACTTTCTTGAGGCGATTAACAACAAATTTTCTGAACATGGTGCAGTACTTCGAAATTGCTGAGGAGCCATGCACATTTCAAAAGGAAATTGTCCAAGTGAGCAGACGTTTCCCAAATGCTGAGAATGACTCAATGATAATCCTGCATAATATTGACAAAAATTGAATAATAATGATTTTAAAAATATTTATTAAAAAAATACTTCGAAACAATTATTAAAGACTACACCGTATTTCTTCAAGTATCACGCTTTCTCAATTAAAACCAACATCTTAGTTTTCCAGCTCACATTTTGGGCGGGAAATGCCGTCCCAAAATGTTGTGAAGTTGTTGAAACAATGCACGAGAAAATTTTTGTGAATTTGCACGGACTATATGACACGCAACTAATTTTTTTTTTTGCCCCTGTGTTTTGGGAAAGAAGTGCGCGTGTTGCTCAAATAAATACGGTACGCAATAATATTGATAACATTACTGTACTGAATAATTCTGATAAAAATAAATAAGGCTGAAAATAATAAATAATTCTAATTTTAAAAAGTGAAGTTGAAAATAATAAATAATGCTGATTAATAATAGATATAATAGTTAATATCCCTATCTCTCTACTTCAACCAAGGTGAGCAGAAATTGGAAGAGTAAAGCCTCTTCCAATTTCTCAGTGAAAATTACTTCAATTTAATATCATCCGACAAAGTATTAGCAAAGTTATTAACATTCGACGAGACTGCAAAAAAATGAAAAGAACAAAAAAACTCGTGGATATCACCCAGATTTATTTTCTTTTTACCTCCTAGAAAATTGCCAGCCACAGACAGCAGTGACTCGGGTGAGAGCCCTCCTTTCCCAAGATTGCTCGCGAGCTGCTTCATAGTGTCAGACTCCAAAAAGGACTTGACGTCTCCGAACATCCGCATGTCATCCATCAGGTCTCCTTCATCGTACTCCACCCCACCTTTGTTCATTTCCGCGCGATACTTAGCTTTTTCGTGGGCTTCGTCGTGTCCGAACACAAAATCGACAATCGCGATGCTGATCACAAGCGCGAGAACACTGATTTGCAACCGCATCTTGTGCAAAAGAGGAATCTGTGGAGCAATGAGAATTTAATGCAATGCTGCTCAACAGCATATGGCCTGCGGGCCGGATCTGGCCCGCAGAGACTCTTCAACAGTCCTGCGGTCCCTTCCCTATAATTTTCAAGGTGGCAAACACCACTATTCAAAATTTATTTTTTGAAAGACGAATTTAAAACTTCAAGATTTTGCTCCACCCTTCAAAAATTCTACAAGGCTATGCTCGTCCTGATTCAATATATAGCAGTGAATTAAATTTGAAACTTTGAAAGAGGAAAATTTGAAGCCTTGAAAATTATTGTCTATCGAGGCTCGCTGAGGACTTTCCACCTATACAATGTGCCCCTTGGACACAAAAAAATGTATTCATGTGGCGTTTGCCCTTTGGCCACATCTGAGCAGGAAAACGGGATTTTATAATGGGACCCATTATTGGTTACAGTCTTCTCATTGCATAGTCATTTTTCCGAAAGCCTTTTCAGTTACTCAAACATAAGTGTTTGGTAAAAAAGAGTTTCCGTTTCGTCGGTCAGTATCTCCACAAGAAATTAAACGAAGGAAGATACTTACGAGGCTCGTATCAAGCCTTCTCAGACCAATAATTGTCAGACTGGGTATTGGGGTTTTTCTATTCCCTAGGAAGAAGGGACAAAAATAAACCTTCCCTGACTAGGGGGCGGAAGGGCGTTGAACTTTGGCCATGTTTCTGTACCCCCCCTTCTTGGCAAAACCCTGAGTAACTGCTTCCTGCAGCTGCTCCAGCTGTTGGGAAGGGAGAATCGTCAGTTTCTGCCAGTTTCCACACTTTGACTTTTCATTTGAAAGTACAATACGCGGTCTATTCTAAGACAATCAGAAACAAAAGGCACAAACTCCAACGGGCAAATTGTAGAAGAGCCCTGAGTGAATTAAAATTAAAATTATTTGCTCTAAATACTTTGACAAATAATGTATATAAAATTAGCCCTGAGGGTTACGAAAGAAGAGAAGACCATCAAAGAACCATTAGAAAATTCGAGCTAGGGCGGCTTTCAATTATTTGAGAGGAAATTCAGGCAGGGACTCGAAAAAATGTACATACAGAGGTATTGGACTTCAGCGACGTTCCACTTCACAAGTAATCTCTGCTTGCGGATCACATTTTTCCTCGATTACTTCGTTGCAGAGGAATTAAATTATCACTCACACGAACTGTACTTCCCTGTGCCAGGTATCACAGACGTTGAAACATGACGTGAAAATTCGGGCTCACAACTGAAAAATGCACTGAACTGACTACCACATAGCAAGCAGTCCGAAGACGACCATAAGGTCAGTGGCCGCATCAGAATACACAGCAGACGAGGAATAATTCGAGAATTATTCAAGGGTAAAGAGAAAAAAATACGCTTGTGAACTTCACGTCGTCGTACACGAAGTGCCACGTCACTCTTCAGCACATGCACCCGGACAAACGATGCATTTCATTATGATAAGCTATCTAGTTTTTACTGTTCGGAGTCAGCTGGTTAAATTAGAGCGCGGGAAAACTTCGGATTCCGCCCGGCGAACTTCGCATCAGAGTCGCGAAAAACAATTTAAATAAGTGCTTTAAAAATTAAGACACAAAAAAGGGAGGACGGAGCTATTTTCTGAGACAACAACCGACTAATTCCCCGTAATATATAAATCCACTTTCAAATCTGTAATGAACGGACGATGAATTTCAGAAGAGAAGCAGCACATCTCACTTACACTGAAGCAATCGGCGCTTCTCTTCATCTTGCTTTGTTGGTCCCGGTAATTCTTTCCGGCGTAAACAAACTACAGTAATCATAGCCCACTGATCAAATAAGAAACACAGACTTACTTATATTCAGGCGACCACGCTACATTAACAGGAATAAGAAATCCAGAGCAGAGTTATTGAGCGTCAAAAAGCCTCAACACCCAAAAATTAACTTCAAAAAAGGATAATCAGTAATAAAATAGATGACGCGTACGAGTTCTCTTTTTCACACTTCACAGGAGACTTCATCCAGCACCACGTCAGTGAGAATTTTTCCGCCATCACGCCTCAAATGACAAATCAGAGGTTAAACCGGACAAGAGACAGTTTTGAAGATACAATAAAAACAAGATATTAACTAATTAATCATTTCCTTATTCACAAGGTCATTCTGCACAATTCCGCGGAGCGAACACCAATGTCACCATTTGATGCAGTTGCTTCAAGGAACAACTCTCGCAAGATGAGAGTGCAAGTCAGATTTTATCCGGGCCAAGGAAGAAGATCGTTGGACCGGCTGATAGGATTCGTAATCGGCCAAGCGAGAAAACAACGGATTTTTCGACACAGCCCTACTGCGAGCAGAAGTTTCAAATGCTTGTGCTGCAATGCCACGTATTCGCATGGATCATCTCATTCGGATGGTATGATACTGCACACACAATGCCGGGAAATACATGGTGCACTGGAAAGAAATCTAGAAAATGCTGAAAATCTAAATTGTGTCCGATCATGAAAACGAACATTATGCACGATACGATACTCACGAGCCCAGGCAGACAAGTAACCTTAAATCAAATGGTTGTGGTTTAACCGCGTATCATCACAGAAAATAACAGCGGTGCTGAACAGCCTCGAATTTAGGGGAGCGCGATTTACTATAAAATCGCTCGCCGAAAAGTTTTTAGATAATTCCATCATGTGTAGCTAGTATACTCTGGAAGGGATACTGCAATACACTACTTGTATCCGGTTCATCCTTCGCACGGTATGAGACGAAGAAACATGCATACATTAATAAATGTGTTTTTAAAATAATTAAAAATCACGTAACGCTGCGGTATTCCTCAGGAAAATCAGTCCTCATGTAATCTATTCACATTTCCAATGAAGAGTAAGAATTTTTTGTCGCGAACTGAAACTTATCATTAACTGAAACTATTACTGTATAAACTTCTGGGACATTCCTCTGTGAAAGAACAATTATGAATACCACGCCAAAAAGGAAGAAACTCGTTATCGCACAATAAGATGTGAATAAATGTGTACCTTGCACTGCGCAACAACAAAAAACCCTCATTGGCATTAAAAGAATGCTAAGGAATATCCAAAAGAAATTTACTGCATTTCAAAACTGTGATTATGCTGGTGAACAGCAGCTGCTGCCAAAGCACTTCACACGACGTCTTCCCGTCCCTCAGTTCGATATACATGTACAGTATCAAGCAAGGCGAGCGTTCTAACTCAATCAATGGGATGGGGGCATTTCGAGATCATAAATCATACTGACACACGGACGATTTGGCTCCTCAAATGCAAGATTGGTACACATTGCGAAACGGATTCACGCACCCTACGTTGAATTTCGTACAGGAATGAAGTCTACGCCGTAATGCAAAGTGTCCACTGCGCATTTACCACAGCTTTGTCAATAACGCAATTCTCAGACACTTGAAAATCACTCACAAATTTACATAGCACTGATGGTAAACCCTCCATCTTTCGCGAGGAGTTCGTACTTCGATCGTCAGCACTCACGGACTGTGCCTGCATTACAATACTCCAAACGTGGCCATGTCATAAAAAAACTATTCCAGGAACGCGTGGAAGGAATGAGCGAATGACTGCTGCTCCGTAATGGTAAAATTCTGAATTCCATGGCTACAGAAACTTTCGTGATTCACATGACTGGCGTTCACATCACTGTCCAAACCCCAGAAGACTGGCGTGTTCCTCCCTATGCGCAGGCGAACTGCTGGGAGGGAGAACAACTTGTCCCGTTGGAATCGGCCCTGACTAACTTCACCTACCCGTAACAATTCACCGGCAAAATTGTGTGTTCAACTCATTGATATCATACAGTAAATCCATCACTTTTAGGCATTCTGTAATATTTTACACAAAAAATTCAATGATTTTTAGCGATTATCAGAAATTCGACTCAGGCAGTTGTATTTTGATAAGGTAAATCTTTAAAAGCGGATGCCGACAGTCAAGGTTTTCTCTAAAATGCTTGAACAACCAGAATGTTTTCTGTGAGTGTTCTGTGTACGCTGCCTATTCCAGTGAAACCCAGCAGGTACCAAAATGCACTATCACAATTTATTTTCGGTACAGTACCTTTTAAAATATGCATGAGCAACATTTTCAAGACGTGAGGTCCAGCGCAGCAGGGCATATGGCCATATGCCATGTTGGTTCGCCCAAGGAATGTACTGTACTTTGATTGGAGGGACCATCTCACATTGTGAAGTCACTGTGTGAGGGGAAGGTGAATGTGCTGACGCTCTACCATTCCTCTCCAGACGGTGGCATTGACCTTTAAAGCAGCGGTTGGACCCTGTCCCTTTGGTTCTTCCCCCTTGGACTGCGTTTTCCCGTTGCGTGGCTTTCATGGCCGAAGCCAGGAGTTTCCTTCCCGGGACCAGCACTTTCATATCCAGTAATCAGTCACTTTCAACAAGTCCTCTTCTCATTGTTCGTTATTGATGCCACAGCCCAGCTGAAGCATATACAATATCCCCCCCCCTTTTTTTAGACCAGGCAATGATAAATGGGCATCACTGCAGATACACACGTGTGACATAAATATTAGTTATACATACTGTACTGTATAGCCATACGTCAACATCAGTTGGACCCAAAAATTAAATGAGGGGAATTATTAAGAGAACCAGAAAATTGCCGCTGCTGGCAAAACAAACAAAAAAGATGCTGAGTAAGTTTTATGATACAGTATTCTGTACCTTGAGCTGGTATAATTGATTCTGCTATAAATGAAGATGCAGAACCCTGGATGGGGCATGAAAATCCACCCTATAATAACTATCATCTCACTTCCATTTGAAAAGCATCCAACTAAAATTGTACTGTATTACTATTCTCCTTCCTGTTCCTGGAATAATAGCTCATATAGGCCTCTGGATATTCCAGTTGAGGAATTAATCACCTCCTTCTTAGATATCACCTCCCTATATTGTAGTTGGTTAAGACTATTAGAGATCCATATACAGTACAGGTTGACTCATGAATTCCTACAACAAAATTAAAGGGCCCAAACATCTTGTAGAGAACTAATACTGCTGTATAAGATGTGGAGAGTACAGTACCATAAGGGACCACAGCCAAAATCATTTGAGACAAGATCATTGTACTGAGAGAGACCATACATCTCTTATCCCATTAAACAAAAGTCAAAGCAGGGAGATTTTTCTCGTACAGAGGGTCAACTTAGCTAGGTGTAGTATATAAATAATATGTAAATGTAAAGAACAGACGAGAGGCACTTGGTCAATGAATTTACACGACATGGAAAGAACAAGATGAAGCTTATTCATAATCAGAAGTGACGAATCGCGCTGGTCAACGGGCGCATTCCTTTTAATTAAAATTTGATTAATATGTAGCTGACCTTTGTAGAACTCGATCTGCTCGATGGGCCATTGCCGAACAACATTAATTAACTTGTGTTTTAAAAGATCAACGTAATTTTATACGGAGTGAGGAATCTGTAATACAAAACTGAACTCGTCCAAATACAACTCTATAGTTTGATGACCTGTCCGATCTGTCGCGGATCCGTCAGAAATGTCCGTATCACTCTCGGAGCGAGGTCTACCTTGCAGCTACGAAAGCATCTCAACATAAATTGCAGAATGCAAAATTATTGCATGGATGTGTAAAAAAACGTATGATAAAATAGCCAGAGGAATACGTAAAACAATAATCTACATGATGACACGATTGAAGGTAAAGCCCACAGAACGGTTTTAATTTGTTCCATAGACCTATTGACCGTTATTCTGCAAGATACAGCTCAGAAGCCTACTCAAAAAGATTTAATTCGTTCACTTTTCTCTGAGAGTACAGTATTCTCAAGCAAAATATCGAATAAATAAAATTAAAAGAAACACCAAATTTTATTCTGGAGTTTAAGTGATTCGCTTGTTCTGGATATCATTTTTTAAATAAATTTTACGCTTTGCACACAGATAACGGTATACACAATATACTTTCCTGTCTGTGGAACAGTTTCTTCCGTGACAATTCAAAGTTGATAAATAAATGAAAATACTGTAATAATCATTCTCTTTTGCAAAGCAGATTTTGGCCTTTGCAGCAGGCCCTTCTGCAAAGCGCTCTTTTGTTGAATTTTTTTTTTACTCTGACATCCTACACCACAATTTGAAAAAAAGTATGCAATATTTATCATTTTAAGAACGGTTTACTGGCCAAAAAGGAAATGGGAAGATCCTGTCCGAGTTCTTTACGCTAGGCGTTTCTCTTCCAAATATGTACCACACAATCTCCAGAAAAATGTACAGGAACTACACGAAAAATCGAAAAAAAATTTATTTTCAATAAAAATACAGTAATCTTCAGACAATGAGATTTTCAGGCTTAGTTCGGAATTTTGACTGGCACATTTTTGAAAAACATATATTTATATATACAGACGGGATATAAAAAGTTACAGGAACAGGCCACATGCTTAAAAGATACGTCGTGACACAACAAAAAGAAATTTCTAAGGAATTTTCCAGATTTCAACGAGCTGCGGCATTCGAAACGGAACTGAAAAGAGCACATAATCGTTCGCATCAATTAAAGAACAAAACAACGAGGAGAGTCTTGATTTCTCAAAAATGAAGACAAATTGAAAACATGCAATCGGCAACACTTGATGACCAAGCATGAGGGGAACAAAATATAAAACGCATTCCAGTATTGAGTATGCCAAAAACGGGAGGACACATCACGGGGGCAACCAACAAACAGTAACATAAAACCGCTATCAATTAAAGCTCACTGTTCCAGAGGAACACGGCATTTTGTGCTCAGGTACGACGAACACAGTCGTGCTTCTTGTCCTGCTCAGCATGTCTCGAACACTGGCCTCTTCCCAGCCATTGGCAACCCAGGCTTTTCCTAACAACGCCTTCGCAACGGTTTCATCCATTCCCAACCTGCCCGAAACAATTTCGTAAAATACAGTGCATTCATATTTCGATCAATAATTAATCAAAAAATAGCGCAACATAAACTAAATCAATACAATTCAAAATAAATAAATTAATTAATCGTTCATCACGGCATATTTCTATTATCTCGCACATTGAAGTCGAAACCTTGTCATCTGCTGGTAAGTTTCTCAAGTTTCAAGATATACCCATTAAAAATCAATAATTATTATATACAGTACACATAAAATACTGGTTATAATGCATTACCAACGGAACTAAAACCATGTAATATTAAATCTAAAGAAGGCTGCACGAACTAATATCTTGAACTTTTTCAGGTGATTGCTTATTTAACCATCCAGGAAATTTTATCTTGAACTTTTGCAGGTGATTGCTTTAACCATCCAGGAAATTTGTATGCATACTTTTCTTTTTCAATCTGAACTCATCAAATTTTTAAATAAATTTACGTCAGTCCAGTTAAACCAGGTAAAATAGTGTTTTCTGCTGCCCACCGAAAAATGATAATTGACAAGGTGTACTAGTGAGAATCCAGGTATAATCAATCGCTAATATTTTTTCTCTGTAATGCATATGTTTTTCACCTAATGAAAACAGTAAGTCAGGTACTAAGGTTCAGCCATTTGAAAGCTGAGAAAAGTCTGAATAATTCCTAATCTATCTCGAGCTTTCAAATTTGAAAAAAAAATCGCTCCTTCTTAGCAACAATTGAGCATTACGAAATATCAACAGCGGTAGATACTAAAATACAATCTCATTGAATACCGGTACGCAACGTCCAGCGGCATAGAACAGGAAATAAATTAACCGGTTTCAATAAAGTAACACATTCACCTGCTTTCGGATAAATTACTGTCCAATTTAGCCACAAAAAAGGCCATGGCAGGGTACTTATAAGTGGCACCCTGGCTTAAAAATGGGTTGAGTTGTGTCGCCCCGGCAGCTTTCAGGTTCTGAGCATTCAAAAGGACCACCGAATGATCCCTTTCCAAAGAAAAATGGAAAAACAGTGGAACATGCAAATGTTGAGTATCAGCAATAGCATCCAGGGTGTCCAGGTCCAAGATATGCACGCGTCTGTCCCCATGCAGTTCCTTCACATATCTGAAATTTTAATACTGTACTGTATTTACTTCAAAATTTTTCTCATTCAGGTGGATTGAGCTGGGAACCTAGTTCCGACAATATATTTTCTGTATTGAGCTTCAAAGCTTACATCCACGAGAAATATTTCAAAAAGTGCATTTACTGTATTTTGATTGCTTGATAATTAATGAATTTTGGACAGAAGACATCACCACAGCAACAATGATCTTTTTCAATAGAACTACTCATCCGAACCGAAATTCATCAACTACGGTAAAATCTTGTCACAATCTTGTAGTTTTTATTTAGAATAAATCAAGTCCCAAGGTCACAGAAGTGTAGCACAGATATTACAGTACTTGAAGTCTCGTTATAAAAAAATTCAATTGAAACAAAGGCTTCTCTATGCGTTCAGGTCCGAATTGCTTTATTGTAACCAGATTCCACTCATTTAAATCTCACTAACGAACAGCTAATTTTTGTTCAGAACAAATTCATTGTTACATCATGGCTACCATGTTATGTGAGTACCATTTATAAAAACATTCATAACAAACGGTTTGTTCAGGTCCTCCAGATGATTTTGTCGCAATAACAAGATGTTACTGCACAAAAACATTGACATGAACTCAACCCGCAATTATGTTGTCAAATATCTTTAGATAGATGATACTGTTGATGACTCATCACAGTATTTTGTTCGAAAACATTTACAATGCACATTGTGGTGGTATACAGTATAGTACTCTTAATTCTCTCACCCAGACCCAGCAAATCATTTTGAAGTGTAATAAATTTTAAACGTCTCTCGAAAGGCCCTGTGAGAGATGATCTTATTTCCAGAAGTTTTCCCTGAAGGAAATGAGAATTGTGAATCGGTATACCGCAGCTTTATTCTTTTTTTTTCTAGACATGATTTCAGATGATGCAGTATGCTAGCTCACAACGATGTATGGCTGCATAAACAGTAGTTTTTTCCCATGAAACAAATACTAAGGTTCGCTGCTGATTAAGTCCTGTCGCGATCATTAAGCATGAATCACATCATCATCATAATCAATCCTGCTCCTTCCACATGTCCAAAAATATTAAAACGAACCTCGCAAGCCTAGACACCAAACAAGCTGCGGTCTCCATGCCCTCAGCAACTGAAGTGACCAAGAGCAAATGTGGGATGTTCTTGTCACCCTTGGTGTGCAACCCGTGCTTCAGAGTCAACCACA